TTTTTCGGTTATGTGGTTAATTTTAATTTATTTTTGTTCATTTAAACTTTGGATTCGTAATCATAAATAACATTTCTAGGACCAAAGTCAAAAATAATAACACAATTGCCCCAAGTTTTCAAGAATCAAGACTTTTTGTTGAACTATGAATTCAAAATTTTTAAAATCGGCCGACTTTGGGAAGCCCTACTTTAAAAAAAAATGTACTGGAGTGTGTTGGCAAGTTTCATCAAAAGTTTAGGCATCAGGATTGTAAAATTGTAAAATACTTGATAGTTTTATAATAAAAAAGTTTGAGTAAAAAATAAAAACCTAAAAGTGTCATGATTTTGGTAATGGGATTAAGAAACATTTGTACTGCTGTTTTCGTGTTTTTTAGGTCTTTATTTTTTTTTACTCGATTTTTTTTATTTACCTGATTAAATTCGCCAACTTTCAACAACTCGATGAAACTTGCCAATACACTGTAGTACATTTTTTTTTAAAAAAAAGGGCCTCTCAAAGTACATCAAATTTGAAAATTGCAAATTCGCAGTTCAACAAAGGTCTTAATTCTTGAAAATTTGGGCTAATTGTGTCACTATTTTTGACTGTGTAATTTTATTTATTAATTTCATTATTATATCATTATTTGCTTTTATTTTATATTAAATCATCATAATACGGATAACATTTTAATGAAAACAATTCTTTCTTTATTTTGTACTTTATTTTTATTTTATTTAAGTTACTAGATGTTATATCATTAAACAGTTGTAACAGATATTGTAATTAAAAAAAAAATTGTTTCGACTGTTCTCAGAAATGTTATTCACAAATAGGGATCTAAGGTTTAAATCAAACTATGTTCCAACGCCCCCGTTGAAGATCAAAATTTTTGTAGCGGCCCCATACCAAATTTTTTATACCTATATAATCTCTAAAAAACCTTTTTTTAAATTTTAATAATATAGTTATAGGGGACTATAACTATTGATGAACCTTACATTCTAAATTAGAAAATTTTAACAGTATATATATATGTAAAAAAAAATAGTTAGATGCCTTTATTGCTCCCCTGGATATTTCAATCGCCCACTTTAAGAAAGACTGGTTTAAATGTAAATGAAAAATAGTTACAATTTCTACAAGCTCTAGGTTGTACTTAAAAGCTCATAATTTCCAAACGTGAGATTACTTGTTGAGTTCTGGGACACCCTAATATATATATATATATATATTAGGGTGGTCCTTGATATGGACATTTTCTAATTCCCTTGTTCCAAGGGCTCAAATGGTTCCAAATTGATGAAAAACATTCTCTGAAAGTTTTAGCTCTTAATATTGTCTTTTAAATAGAGCGCAATTTAAAGTTTTGTATGGAATATATTGAATTGCGCACTATCTAAACGTTAATATTAAGAGCAAAAACTTCAGAGAATTGTTTTTTATCAATTTGGAACCACTTGAGCCCCTGGGAGCAAGGAATTTGAAAATGTCCATATCAAGGATCACTCTAATATATATATATATATATATATATATATATATATATTAGGGTGGTCCTTAAAATGGTCATTTTTGAATTTCCTTGCTCCCAGGGCTCAAATGGTTCCAAATAGATAAAAAACAATTCTCTGAAAGTTTCAGCTCTTATATTAACGTTTAGATAGCGCGCATTCAATCAAAGTTTGTATGGAGAGCATGGAAAAAATTTTGAAAATTAAAAAAAATGTTTTAGGTTTAACTTAACGACAAATGAATGAGTTTTATTCATTCATTTGTTCACTAAATTACATCTAAAAAACATTTTAAAAATTTTTGAAAATTTTTTCATGCTATCTCCATACAAAACTTTGATTGAATTGCGCTCTATCTAAAAGTTAATATTAAGAGCTAAAACTTTCAGAGAATTGTTTTTATCTATTTGGAACCATTTGAGCCCCGGGAGCAAGGAATTCGAAAATGACCATTTTAAGGACCACCCTAATATATATATATATATATCAATTTCTATTTCTATTTCAATTCAACATATCCTTTTCCTCTATCCCAGGAGTCGGCGGCAGCACAATGTCTTCCAGCAGCGCCTCCCGCTCTCTCGGCGGCGGCACGAAGTCGTCGCGGGGCTCCCTGAACACCGGGGGCGCCGGCAGCGGCGACGACAGCGTCGCGGGGGCCGCACTCGACGACTCCAACGACACAGACGACCAGAGCATCAATTGAAATCGGACACTTTTCGAGGCGAGGAGGACATATGACCATGATGATGATGATGATTTTAATAAGAGTATTATTGGGATTGAGAAATTATGAAATTATAAATGAAGATTTGAGGTTTGATGTTGTGAAAATAATATTTTTAGATAAGGGAAACATATACAGGAATTTATATGATATGATAGATGATAAGATATACTTTTTGTATATATATAGGCACACACACACATTTATATGTATATATATATATATATATATATATATATATAGCAAAAATTAGCAGCCAACTCGTCGAATTACAAATGGTAAATTATTTTTTTGCTGTTTACTTATACGTTTCGTCACTTGATATTAGGTTGTCAAATATCTCCCTTCCGCTTTTTTGCTCTTGGTTGATAATACAAAAGGCGGAAGGGAGATATTGACAACCTATTATATGCCATCATTCTTTAAATTAAGCAACAACAGTTGTTTTCAATGGAAAATTAATTGTCTCACACACACGAAACATAGTTTGAATTAGTACTTATATTAATTATTTTGTTGGTTTGATTAATTCAATGATGACACGATCAAGGGTCGAAACGTTAAATAAAGAAGCAACATTAGTTTCTAATTTTTAATTCGACGAATTGGCTTACAATTCTATATAAATATATATTTGATTTGATTTGAATATGAAATTTTTCATTTATAATTATTTTCACATTTTGGAGATATGGGATGTTTTCTTCTTCAAGAACTGTTAAAACAAACAACTAATTTTTTTAAATTTATAAAATTGAAGGAGTTCGCCGAGTTTTTACCTTTGAATTGAATTAGAAGCATTAAATAAACACTCACTATAAATTATAAAATATATTCACTAAAAATTATAATTAAATATATATTTTTATTCAATTATAAATTATTATTTTAGTTATAGTATTTTATATTATAGTATATAGTATATTTTATTATTATTTAGCGAGTTATTAGTTTAGTGAGTTAATTTTTTTTAATACAGATTTTTTAAAGGTACAAACAACCTATGTTTTTATTTAAAAAAAATTATATATATCTATATATATATATTTATATATATATTTATATATATATATATATATATATATGTATAAAAAATATTTGTTTTTAACAGTTTCTGTAAAAGGAGTGTCTCAGATCAACAAAACATAAAAATAATTATTAATGCATATTTAAATATATTCAAACAAAGGCTTTTAGTTAAGGAAAAAAAGAATCCTGATAATAAAACTAAATTTAATTAATTTTGTGAAAAATATGCTTGTTTATTTTATTGTTTTTTATATAAATTTGTCAATAATTAAGTTCTTTACGGCTGAGATTTTTACAAATCTTAAATAAAATAAATGTTAAAAACTAAAGAACAAAGCATTCGACATAAAATAAAAAGGTAATTTTGTTTATACAGATTTTTCAACTTAATTTAAATTTGATGCATTTTTCTTAACTTTCTTTTTTCTTACAGACTTAATTTAGTTGTAAAGTGATTTAATTTACTTAAATAATTTACAAGACAAAAATAATTATGCATTTAAGGTATTTTATACTAAATTCTTGATTCTTTGATGACTTGTCTTGGTCTGTCGTATGATGAATTATACATTCTATTTATTTATTAAAATAAATTATAACGCTTTATAATTTGATTCAGTAAGACAAAGTTTATATAAATTACAGATAAAAGCGAGAAGTATATTTAATATATATATATATATATGTGTGTGTGTGTCCATTTACAAAAGTATGTGTATCAATTTAGCCCCCCCCCTCGCCTTGGTCTCATCAAAGTATTAAATTTTAATTATCACCCAAAAGGACCATTTCAGATAGCATTTTCAATCAACACTTTTATATACGATAAGCTATTTATATAAAAAAAAATTACATTAAAATTAAAATTTAAAAAGACACACGGTTGTCTCTAATGTGATCTTTAGGATTTGGCTAAAGTATTTTTTTACATTTTTACAATTCGCATAGTATCTAGTAGTAGTGGTTTTAATAAAAACATTTAGGCCCCCATTGTTGTTTATGAAACAAGATCACGTATTCAAAATTTGAAACTGAAGTCTTCTGTTTTAGTTGGATGCCAGGTAGTATGAAACTTGTGAAAGTTTCGTTTGTACGATAAGATGTACTTATAAATATATAAATATTTTGTTGGGTAGTAGAGCGGCGCCATATTAAGATAATGAAAAAAATTGTATTATAAGTGCAAAGCATTTTTATAAACCTATAAATAAGTGCCACTATTCACATTAAACACGAACTCTTGTATGTAGGGCCTAAAATTAATTGTAAGAAATTTTTATACTTAGATTTTCTACCTATGCCAGTTTTTTTTTAAATTTGAAATTAGCATTAAAAAAAATTATAAAAACTGTAACATATGCCTAAAAAATATTGTTAGTTTATTAATTTTTTTTAATTATATTAAAAGTTGCATAGATTCACATTTTTGTAAATATATTAAATTGTGTTTTTGTATTATGTTAAACAACAAATTTTTGGAGTCGGGTAACGTTTAAGCTTATTATTATTATTATTATGATTATAGTTTATTATTATGAATTATGCATAATTATAAATAACAATAAAAAACTGTAAAAAAATAGTTTCAAGTGTTATGCAGATCACATATAAGTTTATTTCAGTACAAAAATAATTATCAAAATTATTTCTTATAAATTAAAGACAGATTAAGAATCCAAAAATATGTTAGATATAAATAATTTTACAATACGAGTATAATAGATTTAAATACAATAGTTAGATTCTTATGTTGCTTGTTTAAGAGTTCTGGACAATCCAGGAGATGATAAATCTAACGGTGTTTGACCTTCTTTATTTTTTAATTCTAAATTAGCACCTTTAAGAACCAGAAGTTTCGCTTCTTCTTGTCTATCTTCTTCGCAAGCTAAATGTCTATGGAAAAAATACCAAATCAGTCACAAGTGTTTTTAAGTAGTTACTATAAGAAAAGATTATATTTACAATGGAGTATTTCCTGAAATATCTGTCAAATCCAGTTTGATACTAGTATTCGCCAACAATAATCTAACAATAGCAGTCTTTCCTTGTGAAGCTGCTCTGTGCAAAGGCGTAGCACCTTGATTATCAGTTATATTAACATCAGCACCATTTTGCAACAACATATCAACAATCTACAACAAATAATTCAAGCAGTTCTAATCGATCTATGTTTATGTCAATATCTTTACCTCTGGCCAGCCTTTAGAGCTGGCATATTGCAAAGCAGAATGTCCCTGGTTGTTCTGATGGTTAATATCAGCTCCACGAGTCAAAAGAATTTTCACCACATCTTCCCGGCCTGCAGAGGCTGCCAGAATCAAAGGCGTGGAACCCATATCATCTGGTGAATCCATGGGGCACCCGTCGTTTAACAGATGAGCTAGAAGTGAATCATGACCACCCAGGGCAGCCCAATGGGATAAATAACGTTCATTCTAGAAAAGGATTAATGGATTTACATATTGGTGAGGATTATTTTGAAATTGTTGAAATCTTACGTCGTCTTTCTGTTTAAGGGCGTTAGGAGATTCGTCTAATTTGTTCACTAGTGCGTTAAATTCGCCACGATAGGCCATTTGATAGATATCGTCTTTAGTATCCATTATTTTGTTTATTTTTTATATTATCGCTTTCGTAATCTTTGACATGTAAACAACGAAACGTCTAACGATTTTGAGGTTAGCGAATGCGGCAAGTCATAATTCGGCGATGGTTGTGCTATCTTTTCGAAAAGGCTTGAACCAAAACGGAATTGGTTTGAAGCTTGTTTGCTCAATTATTTGATAATTTTGGATTTGTGCTAATGCCAGCCACAGACGATACTGTATAATTGCACATTTCGTATTTCATGTATTGAATGGTTTGCGCAATTTAACAGGCTTGAAACTAGTCTGTTTTGAAATTTGAATTGCGCGCTTTCTACTTTCAATTCACTTCGCTTCGTTCATTTCTTCATGACAGTTCGCCTTTTCTGGCGGCCATCTTTATACAGTGATTTTTGTGACAAACGCGTGCTCGCTAATTAATTAGTGTTTTTTTTTAAATTAAATTCCTAATTAGTTTCAATTAATTCATACATTAAATGGTTCTACTAATTATGCACATCAATTTGATATAAAATTCGTGTGTGATGATATGTTTTTAGATCAGATATGTGACAATGTTCTTCAGCCTTAACCTTATCTCTTTCAGCTTTTAATTCCAATCAATTTTATAATCAAATACTTTATTTACAGCTTCCAATGTATCCTTTATATAATAATATATTCATGTATGCAAATATCATATATGTATAAATGTTTGTAAGGCTACAAGTACTTTTGTAACATATTTGTATATTGTCAAATTCTAAGTCACAAAAGTCTCTGATGTGTTCGTCGCGAAGTATCGTGTGTTGAGTCACGAAGACTCCACTTGGACATTTGCAAATTATAAATTAATAGTATAAAGTCAATGATCAAAGTACTGTAGTATAGTGTTCCACAAGTGTTCAGCATTGGGGTTTCTAGCAGATGCTTTGGAGGATTTATTTTGAAGAGAAGATTTGGACTTAATTCTATGCAGCATGTGGAAACGTCAATGTGAGTCCAAGCAATCTTTTTACACAACGTGTCAATGAATACTTCTCTGGAATAAGATACATAATTCTATCGTACCACAAATATTGCTCTGATAATGTTCTCAAGCACATAACAAATAGTTTCTTGTATTTGTATTGTATAAATCAAAACAGCCTGTATGTATTCCAGTGAATATTTGCTGACTCGTGCATCATTAGTATTTTATGCATATGCATCTGCTAAATGTTTATTTATTTATTTAAAATAATTGCATAGTAATATTACTACAGAATCTTACATCTATAGTTTGAATCCATTTCGTTTTATTCTATTATTAATATAATTTATATTTCAGTTAATAAATGTTATGCTTGACATGATACTAAACATTGTTTTTGCAATTTCAGTGAAGATTGAATAATACAATTTATTCTTTATTTATCTCAAGTAGTACTTTAGCAGATGCTTGTGCAAAAATATGGAATATTACTTGCAATTTTGTGATATCAATCTGATATATTTGACACACTTTGTTAAATTATTATTACTTGCAAGTGATGTTCTACAAGCATAAAAATGATTTTGTACAATTCACTACGGGGAAAACATCTTGATTCACCTTTTCAGCAAGTGTGTTTTATAAATTATTTAAATCAATATAATGCAATAGTTTTTACTTCTCTTATGTATTAATTGAAATTAATTAGTTTTTTCTTATAATTTCCTTAAATGTAAATCAAAATATTTTATTACTCTGTAAATAATGACTATGAGGAAAGGTTTCTCCAATTTCTTGTTGCAAAAGTAATATGATTAGATTTGGTTTCATTTATTTGTTGAGCTACTTTTCGAGTGCTGATGCATATTGTTGTTAATTTGCTATCCTGATGATTGTAGTATCTTCAGCAAATGTTTTGTCTGAATATCATTTGTGTATAGGATATTCAGAAGGGGTCCTAGCATACACCCTTGAGGAACTCCTAAATTAATGGTATTTCAGATAGAACTCTAGTTCTGAAGAGTCTGTTTATCAGATAGCATCTCAACAGCAATAATATCCCACATTAGCAAGGATTTTTTTCTATTTTGTAAAGGAAAAGCTACTTATTACAAAATTATCTTTTTTTACAACACTTTGTAGATGTTGTTTGCTGTTCTATTTCATTCCTAAAGTGATTTTTTACATTTTTACATTAATTTTAGAATTACATTTCTATTATCAAGAGTCATGTGTTTTCCCTGTAGCGATATTAACTGCATGCATATTATTATTAATGATAATACAATTGCTGTTTCTGATGATCATATGTTGAGCGATTAATTAAGTTTTTTAATACATTAACAAATTAGTAGATTATGAAACAAATTAAATAATATTACCTGCAGTTTTCTTTTTAATTTACTTAAGAATCCTTTCCAGATATTTTTGTTGTATTTCTGTTCTTTAGTATTTTTGAAAAATTGCTCAACATGTTGATCAATCGAGTTTCATCATATATGATTAGACTTTAATAAAATCTACATTAACTCGATAGGATTTTATTCAAATTACATTGGCTTTAAAAATTATTGAATTATTTATCCCAAAATTATTTTCAGTACAATTTTCTCTTAACTTTTACAATTTTATTCTGTCAGTTAGATTATTTTATTATTCGAGTTAATGTAGTTTGATTAAGGTTTCGAAAAGTTGACTTGAATGATTAGACAAAACATAATTTTAATTACAAGTATAATATTTGATTCAATTATCACATTCAATTTTTAAATATTAACAGTTTTAATGAATTGGGTTTTCAAGTTTCTGAGCATTTTTTAATATTTCATTTTATAAGTTTTTATGAAATCTTTTATAACTATTTCCAATGCTTTGAATATTGTTCAAGTCAACTGTATTTGTTTGTGTCTCGATTAATTGTAAAGGTTTCACATGTTTTATCAAGTCATATAAACAATTTTGATTCGTTTAATATCATTTCAATTCATCGATTAATAATTCATTCGAATAATTTTTTTTCTAAGTCCAAATTTTCTGATTATAATTCTTTCGAATAATTTTTTTTTTTTCTAAGTCCTTTCAGATATTTTTTTTTTCTAAGTCCAAATTTTCTGAAACCTTTTCAATTAAGACAGACGAGTTATTTTTGCATGCTGAATTATCCCAAAGCCAACATTCGAATGAATGAGGCTCACATTGAATATTTCACAACGAGAAAATTTTATTGGGGCAAAGTTAAATATTTTAACTAAGTCCCAGTAATTTTTTCTCGTTGTGAAAATTTCAACGTGGACTTGATTTCATTCGAGTGTTGGCTTTGGGAATTGGTGTGAGGGAACACTAAAAAACATAAAAAAGTTTCAACGCTGAACAGAAAAGAGAAAAATTGATCTGGGACTTAGGGGGTTTTTTTTTGGTTCTCCCTCTCCCCTTCCACCTCCTCCTCCTCCTCTCACCCTTTTTTTTCCCTTTTTTCCGCTTTTTTTCACATTTTTTTTCCTTTTTTGGTGTTTTTCCGCATGTTGTGGTTTTTGGGTAGATTTTTGGGTTCGGCATGCATTTTCCGCGATGTGTCTCTCTCTGCGTGTAACCCTCTCGCATCATGGACCTCAGGTTGACCATCACTTGGTGTGTTCGTTTCAGGACCCTTTGCGCTCGCCAACAGCCATTCACCAGCACTGCTCCGCTTTTTCTGCTTCAGAGTTCCTTGTCGTCGCCTTCAGTTGGACTCGATCCACTTCACTTTGTGCCTCCAGAGTGATTTCACCGAGTATGCGGTCCCTTAAACCACTCGGCTATTTGTGTTATTGATGATAAAAGTTATTTTTATTCCTATATTATATTAATATTGAATTTTAATAAAGAATATGTATCATACACATCTCTCTTATTCATCATCTGCCTCTACCCCTCTCTTTCCCCAGTGCTTCCTCCACTTTTTTTTTTTTTCTCTTTATGTTCTTATCTCTCTTACAGTCAAGTGCGAAACTTGAGTTTTTTGTTTTTCAGAAATTTACTAAGTGTCAAGGTCGAAATGCGACACCTGAATTTAATATTTTGAACTAATATTTGACGATTCCGAAAAACTAGGATTCGAATTTTTCAGCCGAGTCTTTGGGATTCGATCCGAGGGACCTTTAGCCAGTCAACGTGATGTCGACGACTAAACGCTCTCGGCTATTTGCTTGTCATAGAACACAATTTTTTTTGGAAACGCTATTGTCTAATTCGGAAAGGACTTTTGAAATTTGACAGCTTCAAGTATTTTGTGAAGACCTTTGCATCAGGCGCTCCACTATAGTTATTTAAATTTAATCAATCCGCCATCTGAATTTATTTCTTTGGACTAACTTTTGATCATTTTGAAAAACTTTACATCAGTTATTTTTCATCCACATACGTTTACTTCTTCTGGGATCGATCCGAAGAATATCCAACTACTACGACGGCCACTTAACGCTCTTGGCTATTTAGTCGTTTGGTAATAACTATTTTTAATGGGAATGCCTATTGTCTATTACGAGAATTTATAGATTTTTGAAAAATATATATTACGCTTCTTTTTCATGCATCTCCACAGTATTTTTTATATTATCTGCAGATTCGAACTGCCGACAACACCATCGGAGCACCATTGCTATTTAACGACCTCGGCTATACGTCCCGTGGCCAAACAGATTTAATGGGAAAGTCTTTTGTCTACTTCGAGGTAATAAACTTTTTGAAAATTTCATTTTCCTTTCTTCCAACCTATTACTCAAAGAATTGAACTGCAGACAACACCATTGGGTAATTGAATACAGACTGCAACTCAACGACCTCGGCCAAGAACTTATTACATTGAATCGATTTATATGTACTTACCAGCAATTCTATTTTGTGTTTGATATTTTATTCTTCATCCAATCATCACTCATCGTTTATGTTTCTTCCAGCTCCATTCCAGTCAAATAAAGTACAATGGATCTACTATGAACAATTAGATTTGGGACCACATCATCCGAATTTGGATTCGAACTGGTTGACCCTGGACTTCTCAACTGGTGAAATTAGTGAAGTCCTTCAGCCGTTTCGGCTACCGAGATGCAAAATGGCCGTCAACTATATGGAAGGACACTGAGAATGGATTTCTGGCAAATGTGGGGGTGAAAAAATACTGGAAAATGTAAAAGTTGCCGGAGGGGTTGCAGAATGATGGCATACGATTCTTTAGGGTTGTACGGATTTCAAGCGGGGGGTTCCAGGGGGGAGAATTTTGTCCGTTTTTTGCTCAGAACACCCCAAAATGATGATTTAAAAATTTCACGTGTATTTGGGGTTGTTCAAACCCTAATGTTCTCTTTTATAGTAATTAGAATAGAAATTACATGTACAATTAGCAATTATTGAACAAATAGTTTATGAATATAATAATTAAATAGTTAAAATTGATTTTTATACAATTATATAAATTAATTGAGTATGTTTGAACTTATAAAAATTGGACCTAAAAATATTATTATTGTTATAATATGTATTAAATATATATTTGTTAATATTGTGTAAACTATGTTATGTTGATTTAAATAAATATATAAATTAAAATGCATAAATTTCTTTTATTTATATTTTGTATATTTAATAAAATTTGGTATATAATTTAATTTGTATTTTATAAAGACTCAAATAGAGTCTATGTATATTTTTTTCAGTTTTGCCACATTTTTTAATTAAAATAATTAATAAAACAACAAAAAAGTCCTCTTAAATATTTTCTACACCTCCATGTGTTTATTAGGCAGTGTATGGACTCCCTAATAAAATTGGTACAGTCAGCTTCAAATTGTTAAGGAGCCGTCCGTGCTCGCAATTATCTCTATATATACTGATATATAACTGGCGATGGACTCCCTAAACTACACACGTATTCATGATTTCACCACTACATACATATTCAATGCACTCATACATGCACAACGCGTATATCTCGTTCTCAACCCGGTCCACATTTATATATCGTCCATACAAATTTATAAGAGATTTATATATATACATGACCACGTTTCTTATAATTATATATCGTGTATATATGGAGTATGTCGGGTTGCATATACAGCCAGGCGTTCGAAGTCAAATTTATAAAGGACTCACCTGGGATATGAATGAGAATCTTATAGGAATTTATATATCGCTCATATAATTATAGAGGTGTATATATGAGTGTATATATGATATTATATCTCATATATAATTATATATATGAGAAGTGTCTATGAAAATACGTGGGTATCTATCCATGGATTTATATACTGGCATTTATATATGGTACCGTTGTTATATTAAAATTATAATATATATATCGTGTATATATGAGTGTGTGACTAGAAGCATAAATGCATGAATATATATGGGTACTATGAGTATCTTATAGGATTTTTTATTCTATTTTATATATAGGTATATATATATAATATAAATCACAAATTACTATTTATAATAAATAAAGTCAGTTCATTAAATATTTTTGTATTAAAATATTTTATTAATATACAACAGATAAATACAACAAAATATGAATTTATTATAAACACACACACACACACACATATATATATATATATATATATATATATATAAATATATATATACATGTATATGTATATAAATTATTTACAGACCTTAATTTCTTAATGTTTTTGGAAAGATTTCAACAATTATAATACATAAATGATTTATTAAATAAATATGAAAATAAATCGAATACATTAATACAATAATATACATTTCAATTAGCTTAATTAAATTAGATGTATAGATATGATACATGAATAAAATATAATATACTGCTCATGTTAACAATTGAGTATTTCTAATGTATGTTAATTTTTTCTTTTCTATATATCTTATCTTATAATAAATAATAAATATAAATAAATAAATTAATTAAATTAAAATATATATATATATATATATATATATATAAAATATTTATTTATTAACAGCCAATGCTTAGAAATAAAATATTTAAAATCATACAGCTTTGAGAGTTATATAATTAAGTCTTGAATTTCAGGTAAAATATATACAGCAGTTAGTACAAAATATTATAATAACACAATTAATTTATTAATACAATTAGTTTATAATATTTTGTACTTACTATTGTATATTTCTTACCTGAATTATGATACACATTTTGTACTTGTAAAACTGTACAATTTAATAGAAAGTATATTTTATTTCGGTTCAACACATTGGCTTTTGAGTAATCTTATTATATATGTATATATATATATATATATTTATTTATATATATATATATATATATATGAGATAATAAACAATATAAATAATCAAACATTTTCCTTAAACAGTTGATAAATTATTAATCACTATAATGTTTATAATACAGTTCATAATATATTTTAAACATTAATGAACTATATATAAATATTACTCTCTATTGGTAAATATAAATCACTTCATTAATTACTCCACTCAAACAACCAGCAGTTGATAAAGTTTCGGTCCCTTCTTCAAAAGACAACCCTGTTCATTTAGTTTGTCTATCATTTCTCTAAAATCTGACCCAAATCCGTGATGCACCAGACCACCATTGCTAGCCGTCTCTTTCAATTCATTCAGAGTGAAAATTGTCTTCATTGTCACTTCTGATCTCTTTTGAATTAAAGATAAAAACCGCTTGATCTAAAAAGATAAAGGAAAATTAGAGAAAGATAGATACTTTAAAAATATAAGTTTTGCAATTACAAATTCTTTTTAAATTCCAAAAATAAAAGTAATTTGTAAATTGAAACAATTTTAACAATCACATTTTAATATTTGACAAAAAACTGCAATTCTTGCAATATGCATCTAATTATATAATATATATTTATCATATATATTTATATATATATATATATATATATATATCTAATTAAATATATAATATATCTTTATTATATATTATATATAATATAGTTCTAGTTTTCTTATACTGGTCATTTCCTTTTACCTTTGAATTTTGGCTCATTTTGCTCGAAGGTATTCTTCCTCTGTTGACATCAATAGTTCCAATACCATCGCAGAATAAATCTGAATGACAAATTTTTGTTAACTCGATAACATCTCTTGCATGTTCTATTTTTGCTTCAGGCGATAGATCCACTCTTGCTCTTGCTTGCGTTAGCCGAATTAGAGCTTCAAGTTGCCTAAAGAAAAAGTATAATAAAAAATAAGGAAATAATAATATTATTATTGATATTTACAAACAACTCAAGGACTTCACTGATAACTTGATTTTTAGTAAATAATAAATAAAATAAGAACAGTGTTTGTTTTAAATTCAAATTGTTTTCTATAATTACTTTATTTATTTATTATATATGAATTTTAAAAAATATATGATATATAAATACATTTATATGATATATAATGCATATAATATATATTAGTTAGTTTTTAATTAATGTTATTAATGATTATATTAATTTAATTATTAACCTGAGTGTAACTGGCATACTATCAGCACCCTGACGAACTTGTCTCAGACCAAATAGAATCTTTTTATTTCCTCAGCAGCCTCTTTTGTCAATTTAGGCTGCACGTTCTTTCTAGCATAGCCTAAACAAACAAAACAATTATATATATAATCTCTAAACAAGAGATACAACTAGTTATTTATATTAATTATCCTTCCTTACTTATATACTTCCTCATAAGAATAGTCGGCAAAGGATCAAATCTTTCTCCGTGTCTCAATCTTAACCTTTCCTCAAGACAACGTGGCTGTTGACGTTCATTTTGACTCATTGGAGTCTCAAAAATTCTGCTATTTCTAGATTTTCGTTCCTCTTTAGTCAGATCATTGCATGAAATACGTGCTCGTCAGAAGTGTGTATCCAATTGCTAAAGAGATAAAATAGTCAATAAATGAAATATAATATAATGATAAGCAAAATAGGAAACTAGAAATGTCAATGAGACATGTTTTAGTCTTACATGAACTAATATATTTAACAAGTTAATCACCACAATAATGTCAATAATGTACCATGATAACATTAGTGGATAATTTATTTAAAAATGTATCGAGAAGACTTTAATGCCTCTCATAGCTCCTGTAGAACATAGCATCAGACACATATGACTGACAAGGCAATTAACGTGTTCTAATCCTATAACATTATTTTTAACATTCTAACAAGCCCCTGAAATAACACATTATTATATATGAATAAATAAATCAATATGATCAAACTATTTGTAAAAACATATCGATTTTTATAGAAATCCATGTAATCATATTGTAGAAACAAATAAAATTTATAGTTATTCATTATCACACAACCTCACTAAATTTTGTACAAAAACATAATGTAATTGTTAACACTTGCAAATACTTTAAATCAGTATGTATTAAATAGATTTCCAATACCTTAAATCTCTGTTTTTAAACTCCTTGAATCACTTCGTAAGTGTTAAATATTTACACAAACACAGAAAGTTATGTTTCATGGCGACTGCACATGATAAGATTATTTGACAAATTTGTTTTAGCGCAAAAATGTACCTTAAAACATACGTAAAGAACAAAATTTGATCGCAATAGTTTGTGCAAACGTTTACGATTTTCAGCTATCACATTGTACAAACTATCAATTTATTTTATTACGTATGTTTGAAGGTATTTTCGCAAACACATTTGACAAATCATATCGTGTATAACCGCCATTAGTTTTCACTGATGTAATGGTCATTATGAACACCGATTCTAAGTATAATTATGGTTTATAAACATGATTATTTGTTCCAGTTATGATTAACGAACACTGATTATCAGTTTAACGGTTATTTTTCTAATAATTTACATCTAAAACATTCAAAATCCGAAATAAATATTTCGTTAAATGTCATTACCAGATACAGGGTTCGTTCCATCCGAGCAAATCTGACAGTCCGAAACTGTTTCAAACTGTTTCAACTAGATCAAACTCTTTCTGATTTTTCATGGCAGTTGGCAATGGTTTGGTTTTGATACATGCAACGCGATCGAACTCGGAGCTCACTCGATTGTATTAATAATTATTATTTTAATACATAAATATAAGTTTAATTATATAATATATAAATATATATAAAACATATTCTAATAAAATATAACTTAATTATATCAATGAATTTACTTTTTAATATTCCTAGTTATATATCGTTAGGTCGCTTTAATCTAATATTCTACAATGTTTGAACTCCTGTAAGTTCATTAAATTTTAATGTTCTATTTGAGATTAAATAAACATTCTATTTTTAATCGTATTAAATTGCGGAGTTTTGTTTGTGCCGAGTACAACACACAAAATGATAGTTTCAAACTCATCGGACTGCTTGATGGAACGCATTTACTGACAGTCCGCAACAACAGTTTGGAATCCGAAATTTTGGATGGAACAGAAAAAAGTGTTCTGCGCATGCGCGGACAGTTCCGGACTGTCAGATTGGTTCGGATGGAACGAACTCACATCACCATTTTCCTGTACATTCCGCGTGAAAAACTATGAAACGATGTGAAGTGAGCTATTACCAACATTAAGGATAAAAAAAGTAGTGCGTGGTGGGATTCTCCGCGCGAAGGAAGTTATGTTTTAATGGCGGCTTGACATGATGCGATTAACTGTCAATTAACTACATTTTAAGATGATTTACAACACATGCACGCAATTTGCAGCATTTTCAGACTATCTGGAATGTTTTTCAATTATCCAGAACATTTGAAACTACCTAATACATTTTCGAAACTATCTGGACATTATAATCTATCAAGAAATTTTCAGTATATACTAGGCGATATACAGACTATCTAGGATATTTTGAAATTCTAAGATCATTTTAAGACTATCTACACATATGGACTTATAAAACATTTCGCACTATCTACAACATATTTAAGCTATCTAAAAATTTTCAGACTATATCTAGGACATGTACAAACTATCTAGAACATTTTGATTAAATCTAAAGCCATTTTAATACTATGTAGAACATCTTCAAACTATCTAAAACATGTTCACAACATCTAGAACATTTTAAACTACCTAGAACACTTCAGACAATCTAAAACATTTTTAGTCTATCTCGGCATCTTCAGCCATGTAGAAAAAATTTAGACTATATCTAGGACATTTTAAGACTTTCTAAGTTCATGTTAAGACTATGTACAACATCTTTCAACTATCTAGAACATTTATCAGACTATCTAGATTCTATATAGTTGTAAAACGTCCTAGATACCTAGATAGCCCGATAGTCTTAAAATACCCTAGATAGCCCGACAAATGTCCTAGGTACTCTGAAGATATCTAGATAGTCTTAACATGACCTTAGATAATAAAAGTTTAAGATGTTGAAAGTCTAAAAGTCTAAAAATGCTGAAAATGTCCTAGACAATCTGAAAATATTCCAGAAAATCTTAAAATGTCCTAGATAGTCTGTACATGTTCCAATATAGACTGAAAAACTTTTCGTTAGTCTTAAAATATTCTAGATAAAAATCTAGACCATCTTAAGACTATCTATAGGACATTTTAAGGACTGTCCAAGGACATTTTCAACATCTTTAGAATATTTATAATATTTTCATATTGTCTAGGACATGTTCAAACTATACAGAAAATATTGTAGATGGCATAAAAATGTTTTAGATAGTCTGGACATGTTCTATCTAATATATTTTCAGACTCTTATGAACGCTTTCAGCTTAGAAGTGTCACTTCAATACACATAACACACTCAGTCTCTATTTAAATGACTTGAGTTTAACTCAACCTCTAGCAAGACTAATTAGAAGTAAATTACTTCGAAAAAACCCTCAAAGTTTACATTTACCTCTAATTTTAATTCTCACCTCATCAGGAATATCCAACAGCACAAAACCAAATCAAATCTGGACAGAAGGGCACAGCTTAAATTAACATTTTCCTTTAAGGTTTTGGATCTGTTGTAAACGCCTTTATCAGGATTTGCAGCAGCCACGACTGCACATCTGGCAGGAAGAGAACAGACTACACCTGCTTTGGCTAGAGAGACACATTGTTGCTCCATTGCTTCGAGCAAAGCCTAGAGAAGAAACAAATAAATAAATATATATATAACATATATATAATATATATATATATATATATATTTATAAATGTATTATTTATCTTCTTATACTGATAGTTAAATTGTTTATTCATACCGAGTGCTGTTTGGTCATTTATCAAATCATCAATACAGCATACACCACCATCGGCAAGTACCAGGGCACCGGCTTCCACACCACTGGTGCTGTTTCCTGAAGAAATACCTGACTCTGATGAAGTCTGGCCGCCAGAAGTTACACTGGCTGTGAGACGGAAGAAGTACTCGTATTTCCACATACAAAAACACCTAAAATAAAAGAAATAACATAAATGAAAGAAATAATATTTATTACCATTAATGATAAATAAATAAAAAACAATAAATACTAAAACGGGAGAATTAATGGCTACAATGAGTTCAAAAAATATTTCAAGTACTACACTAATCCTGTAAAATAAAAATAATGTATATTTTGTTAGAAATATCAAGGCACAAAATGATTGAAGGAGATAAGATATACTCTTGTCCAAATTACATTTTTTATCATATTTTCTCAAAAATATCTGATGGTTTGGTCATTAATATTACATATTCATCAGATATTGAACTTCTATATTATTATTACCTCTAGGGGCAACATCAGCACAAGCCTTCAACATTTGACTTTTCCCCAATCCCGGATCTCCAACTATCAAAATAGGACACTCGTTTCTATTTATAAACTGTTTCTGATGTTTTTGTAGCTCCATTAAAGCTAGAATGAGCCACAGCTTTGGGACATTCTCGGCCGCAAATAAGAGGGCACAAAGAATTAACAAGCAATCGAAAAACATCAGGCTCTGATTTTATTGCTTGTATTGCTGCATAATCCTAAGGAAAAAATGGTAATTGAAACATGTGTTTAGTAAATAATACAGAAATACATACTCGTTCTGTGTATTCATCTTCAACTATATTTTCTCTTTGATTTTGTATAGATATGCCTTCAAGATACATTTTGTACATAGATGCTTGATCTCGTCTTGAATGATCATCTAAAGCTCTCACCTAAAATTGTAAAAATCATATTTTAACATTCTTGTTTCAACTGCCCAAAACAAACTATACTATACATTAATATATTCAGAAACTAGTGGGGGCATGGCATCGTGCCTTAAGGCAAATTGCTGGAACTTCCTATACCAAAAATTTTTTTTTTAAAAAAACTGAAAAAAATAGATTTTAAGAAACTATAAATTTTTGACAAAATTCTGAACTTTTTTTCAAAGCAATCGTACTGCTTAACTGCGTAGAGACGAAATATCAAAGCGCGTAAGCGCCGCGACCCCGTAAACGTATAAACATTGGTACGGAACCCATAAATAAAACAAAATTTATACTTATTGTTAAAATCTCTATAAAATATCTGATAATTTGATGTGCATATGTCTAATGATCATTTTTGACCGCCAAATGGCTTTTTTTTACTTTTTTCATTAGATCTCCGAAACCGCTAGACCTGCCTTCATGAAAATTTGATCAGTCCTTCATCTTGTTAATACAACTAAAATGTTTTCGAATTATTCAAATCGGACGCTCCATTCTCTTAAAAACTGAGTTACCGTTTTTGGCACTTTTTGCCTCATATCTTCAGAACGACTAGACCTGCTTTCGCCAAAAACTAATCAGCACGTCTCCTTATCAATACGAATTTGAATTATTCAAATCGCTTCATCCCTGTTCTCGAAATCGTCGACGAAAATTTGTATCCGAACACACACACACACATTCACATACACACACAACACATACATCCATTTTTCTAAGGTATGCCAAAATATTCAGAAACTTCTGAAACGTAAAGACATAAAATGTTCATTTTCGATTTTGTTGTGATTACTATAATTTGCCCTATGGGAAGTTAATATATTACTTATAAATTGCTTATAAATAAAAAATGATGTTATAAATTATACCTGCACAATTCCAGTGATAGTCACATCATCTCCTGGACAACATAAATTAACCAAGTCTGCTGTTACTTCAATATTTACATTCCGGGTACTCTGCCTGATTCAAACTATTCAAAATATTAGCCATGTATATAAAAGTACATTGAAACAAAATGTAATAAAATATTTAATCAATTTTTTTTTTGTACCTGATCTGCAGTTTTCAACTCCTGCACTTTTAAAGTCTGCCAAGCAGTCGTTCTTGTGCACGGTGTATCAAGAATTGGAATAAAATTTGTACGAATTAGACAGTTTTCCCCTACACATTTTTCTGGTTGGGCCATTACACCGGCAGGCTGGAAAAAAAAGAACTTTAAATAAAAGATTAATATATATATATATATATATTATATATATATATATATTTATATATTATTATTACCTGTTTTACCATCTGTTGTGCAAAACAAGAGCGACAACCAAATGTCATCCAAGTACAAAGAAGCTTTGGGTTTCCAGCACGAATTACTGTACCTTTATTAGTAACAAGCTTACCTATACACCAAATATATACATGTATTAATATACAATTGATATTATTAAAAAAACTTATGCACATACTATAACTGTGTACACGAATATTTTTCAAAGGTATTACAGGTCCGTGCCCCATCACTCTAGCCATTACCATATCCAGGTTTGATGAATCAGTTGACTCATTTTGCATTGAAAGTACCTAAATACTTTTGAAATCTTATTATCACCATACCAAACCAAATTATATTTACCTCACCTGATGCATGGCTAGCCCCAAGCAGTTCAAAGTATATTCCGGCTTTTCTCTTAGATCCTCTTGAAACATAGGCCAATCTTCCATAAATACTGGATCTCCTAAGAGAGCCCTCATATGTATAGGGTACCACAATAATTTTCTACATCTTTGTAAGTTATATAAAACCGTTCTTCTTGTGATATGAGATTAGCTTTGATATTTTTTACTGTCTGAGATCCAGCAGTATAAACTTAAAATAATAAATGGATGATAAATATGTACATCATAGTTTTAAACTATACACATACCTTCAAGAGGGAAATATAATTTCCATCCTGGGTAAGGTCCAGGAATAACGTCCAAAGCAACTGATATTAAAGGTTGCTCTCCAGATCTTCTGACAACTTCCGGTAAATTAGCAGAATTGGTAAAAGATTGCACCTAAGTAAATAATAAGAATCAAAAACTGTAAAATTGCGATGAAAGAAAACTTACAGATGATTCGTTTGATGGGGTGCTCCGTCCTGATGAACTACTTCCTCCACGTGAAAAACCACGTTTCCGGTAATTAAATCTGCCTCTATTATAACTCATTTTCTCTTATTCTGTTTAAAATATAACTTTCATAAAGGTTTTATTATCAACCGTACATTTTCAAAAACCGCCATTGCGCAAACTGAGTTTTGACATTTGACATCTAGCAAAAGCAGTGCTGCCACCCATCAATATTTCCACAATTCATTAATCATTGTTGACTCATGTCCATAACTAAATAATTTAAATAATTATTAATTGCAATTAACTCTTGCGCCATGTTAATTGAATTCTTTTCCATAACATAATATAAATAAACTCGATTCTTTGTCCGATTCAAAAGTCAAAGATTACGTCATTGTGCGCACGCAGACCCACACAATCATTCTCAGTCGGTTCTTCAATTTACAAGAACTGCTAAAAAAAAACCTTTTAAAGTTCATTATTGTATATGTGTGATATATTTTTGATGTAAAAATTGTGTACATAGTTAGTTAAATTATTTTAAACCATGTCGAGTAATTGTGTTGAAGTCACGCCCGAAAATATAGCGGCTGCCGAAAAATCAAAGAAGAAGCTAATGAATATTTTAAAAGTAACTATACAATATTTATATATCAAACACATATATATATATGTATATCACTTTATATACAATTCTTTTGCCTTTTATCAAATTTGTATATTTATTTATTTATTTATTTGTACATAACCTCAAAATATTGTAATTGTTTATTTTGCAGAACAAGATTACGAGCGGGCTATAGATTTATACAATAAAGCAATTGAAGCAAATCCAAATAATGCTATTTATTACTCAAATAGAAGCATTTCGCATCTTAGAACAGAAAGTTTTGGGTATGTATCAAATAAAAAGATCTCATAACCTTAATGATATGTCACATGTTAGAGTAAATATATACAATTAAGCATTACATTTATATATTAAGTGATTGTCTTTTACATTCAAAGACTAAGAAGTAAAATATTTATGCTACCATGGAATAGTCTTAAGTGGATTGCGTACCTAAATTTTATTAGAACTTTTACATATAGATTCATGATATATTATTGATGACTTTTATTCTATTATTTTAGTTATGCTCTTAGTGATGCATCGAAAGCGATTGACTGTGATAAGACTTATATCAAAGGTTATTATAGAAGAGCAGCTGCCCATATGTCTTTGGGCAAGTTCAAGGCTGCTCTTAAGGATTTTGAATATGTACGCTAATATAAATATCTAATTTATATACACCAAAGTTTGTATTCATCATTAATGCTTTTTTCTTAGGTAGTAAAAGCTAGACCTAATGACAAAGATGCTAAATTGAAGTACAACGAATGTAATAAGATTGTAAAAAAATTAGCCTTTGAAAAGGCTATAGCTGTTGATAAGCCAGAGAAAAATATTGCTGATACTATTGATTTTGCTGCAATGTGTAAGTATAGATTATTATTGTTCATTATCATATATATACGAAATTTATTTATTTATTATATTAGCTATTGAGGATGACTATGCGGGTCCTAAATTGGAAGATGATAAAGTCACCTTAAAATTATGATGGACCTCATGGAAACATACAAAAAAAAACAAAAGCTCATAGAAAATATGCTTACAAGGTAACACATTAAATCCCATAAAACAATTCATTATCTTAATTATCTTTTTCATAGATTTTGGTAGATGTTAAAACCTATTTGATGACCCCAACCATCGCTCGTGGATGTAACTATTCCTGATGAATCCAAATTCACAGTTTGTGGAGATGTTCATGGTCAATTTTACGACTTAATGAATATATTTGCATTGAATGGTTTGCCCTCGCCTGATAATCCTTATTGTTTAATGGTGACTTTGTTGATAGAGGCTCATTTTCTGTTGAATGTATATTTACACTTTTTGGATTCAAGTTGTTGTATCCGGATAGCTTTTTTATGTCTAGAGGTATGGGGAATAACATTTTATAAGCAGGGATTTTTATGATGAAATTTATGTTGTTTCTTTTTAGGTAATCATGAAAGTTCCACAATGAATCAAATGTATGGATTTGAAGAGAAGTGAAAGCAAAGTATACAAAAAACATGGCAGAACTGTTTACTGAAGTATATAATTGGTTGCCTTTAGCACATTGTTTAAACAAAAGGTAAATACTTAATATAAATATAATTAGCTTATGTGCACTTACATAAATTTTTTCCAGAGTTTTGGTAATGCATGGTGGTCTATTTTCCACTGACGATGTTACTATCGATGATATCAGGCAAATTGATAGGAATAGGACCCCCTGATGAAGGTAAATTGCTAACAAACATTATAAAACATATATCATATATAATACTATTTATTTCCTTAGGTCTTATGTGTGAGTTATTGTGGTCCGATCCTCAACCACAAAACGGCAGGTCACCAAGTAAAAGAGGTAAATTTAAAACAATAATTAGTATAAGAATATGTTACTACTGCATATATGTTTTTAGGAGTTGGTTGTCAATTTGGACCAGATGTTACTCATAAATTCTTGGAGAAGAACAATCTTGACTATGTAATTCGTAGCCATGAAGTCAAATCTGAAGGTTATGAGGTTGCTCATGATGGGAAGTGCATTACTGTTTTTTCTGCACCTAATTATTGGTGAATAATAAATTTAACATTTGTTTTAACTATTTTCAACCTAGTAAATAATTATTTTAATTATGATTTATAATTACAGTGATACAATGGGAAACAAAGGTGCTTTTATCAAATTAAAGGGCAAGACGATGATCCCAGAATATGTCTCATTCTCGGCAGTGGTCAGTATCACATAACTATATACTTAAATAATATTTCATATATAACTTATTACTTCATCTGCAGCCGAATCCTGATGTTAAACCAATGGTATACGCAAATTCCTTGTTGAACATGATGTGTTGATCACCATCATATCTCATTGGAATGGTTTACATATTTATTTGTGCAAGTTTTTTGTGATTTTTACACAAAGTTTGGGAT